CCGTCGGCTCTGAGCTTGACCTTCATTGTCATCGACCACTCTCCATAGTTAGTGCGAGTCGGTGTTGGCCAACCTGGTGCAGCCGACCTCCGCATTGCGGCGAACAATGACCTCCGGTCAGTGGTCGGCAATACCAGACGGTTGCATCGCAACATCGCCCATCTCCGAACCGTTTATCATCGCCAACGGTTAGTCCGACGATGGCATGCGGCTCTCGATACCACTTGTTAGCCCACAGGATCACCGGCTCAAATGAGTCGATCACTCACCGGTCTTGCCGACCACGGCCGAGCACGACCGAGGCTGTCCGACCACACACACTATGGCTCTAGGTAGAAGAAGGGGGAGAACAGAGCATACACACACGGCAGAGACACCAGTGTTGGCCGAAGGTCTGTATAGGAGATAGCAAATCTGAACTCTGTTTGTTGAGTTGCAGTGGCAAACTGTATATATAACTCTATCTATCTAGTCCTAGTACAATTTGCTCTCTGCTGCAACAAATGACTAGATAACATAGCAGATCTGACTCTGCGCTTTGTTCTCGCATGTGGCTACTGATCCGGCAGTGAGCGTTCGGCTCCTGCCTCGCCTCTGCCAGTGACTCAGATTCACAATGAGGGAGTCAATTCGGCGTCGTCTTCTCTTACTATGTGTTCATACAAGGAATCAGTATATTATGTAATAGGTTGTGCGTGTGGGTTAACAAAGAAAACTCCTAGACCGGCCCGTTCTTGGTGGTAGGGATGGGTGGTCAGGTGTTGTCGAAGCATCTCATATAGCACTTTTGGACGCTGTAAGAGTGCAAGCGTCTGGATTGTGTAATTGTTCATCAATGGTATGATGCAACCCGTGTGTGTAACAATCGGGCTGATCCATTCTTCGAAAAAGAAGGAACCATATTCGATGCTATTTGGCCATCATTTTATGGCTCAGATTGTCCTCGTGTAGGAGTTCGGTTTGTAAACCGAAATGTGCTCTTGGATATTAGATGGTAAAAAGGGTAAACACGAAGTCCGCGGTTCAGTGTGTCATATGCTCCTCTGGGTGGTTGAGTGTGTTAAAATCAATACTGCATCAGTAGAAGAAATACCTTGGTTTGGAGTGTTGAGGCTATTGTTGTCCTGCTGGATGGAGTGGTTGCCCCTGACCCCTATGTCGCCTCACTAGTTCCCTGGGAGGCAAGTTGCTGGTGTTGTTCATCTGTGGCACCATGGGGGACATTTGGGTTGCTCCAGTTGTGCACCTCAGCAGTAGCCGTGGTCGGGCTGGTACCTGCAATCTGATTAATCATATATATTGTAGTTGTGGTGGCTGTGTGTCGTCCCCAATCTGTTGGAGGAGCCGTGGAGATGGGCACCGTCTCCAATCCCATGGTGAGTCCTGTTGAGATTTGGGTAGGTTGTTGTGTTGGTGCTGGCCAACCAGTAGTGTTTGCAGTTGATTGTTGCATGTTCCTGTTCGTCGATGAAGTAGGTAGTGAGTCTGTGCCTCGAGGTTGTGTTTCCTGTACTCAGTCCTATTTGCTGGTTGATTTTAGTCAGCCAACAGTATTTTTCTCTCACAACAAACCAGTACCAGCCGAACTTATCAGCCTAGAAACCAACCAGCGAACAAACTATGTCTGTTGGGTGCTCTGCCATGACCTGGTGTACCTGCCATGGAGTCCAGGACTTTCTCTAGGATCGAGTGTCATTCCTGGCCTTCCACAAATACCACGTAGTGGTTAGAATATTATTAAATAAAGCATCGGAAATTGAGTTGGAGACAAATGGTCCTGTTCGCTTCGCTGAAAAAACAAGCCAAAACACTGTTCTGTCTGATTTGTTATGAGAGAAAAACATTGTTTCGGCTAAAAAAACAAGGTAAAAAATACGGATTATAAGAGAAATGAACAGGGCCAAAAGCCTAAAGGGTTAATTGCACTCCATCATTTTCCTGGGGAAGGTTGTCAGTGCGTAGAGAGGGTTCAAAGGAGAACCAAACAGCCCGGGATAGATGGCAGTGGAAGAAAAGGTGAGTGTCGTCCTCCACTGCACCACAAGATGCACAGTGTTTGTCGATGTGAGTGGAGTACCTTGCTGCTCTATCAGTAGTGAGGGATCTTCTTGTTTGTCTTCAGGTGAAAGCTTTGATAGTTCCTTGCTTCTCCATGCTCTCTGCAAAATGTTGTTTGCTTGAGGGTGAATGCTTCTAGATCCTTGTTGTGGAAGCTAAATGAGCTGCTTATTACTGAGGTGCCTGTAGATGTTTTTAGTAGTGCATTGACCATTCTTGGCGGGTGTCCATCTTAAGACGTCCTGCTGATCGCTGGGGACAGTCTGGACACTAGTGATTGCCTGTACAGCCTGATCATCAAAGATGTTAGCTATAAGGTCTAGATTCCAAGAATGAGAGCTGGGGATCCAAAGATCAGAGACTGTAGCCGGCAGGGGGAAGTGTGTTACCAGTAAAAGCATATCATGAATAGAGTTCCATAAAGGACACCAAGGGGTGGACCAAATGGAACTGTTACCTGAATGGATTTGGTAGACGGAGTTTGTGCAAAGGTCCGTTTTTACCTGCAAAATAGAAGACCAGAAGATGGACCGAGACCCATTGGTGTTAGCTGTCCAGAAAGAGGTATTGTGGTAGTTATTTAGCCTTGAGGACTGAGGTAAGAAGAGGATTTTTGTTGGTAGCTATGTTCCAAGCAGCCTGGGTAAGAAGGCTTTTATTGATAGTGTTGAGGTCCCTAATTCCAAGTCCACCATTTTCCTTAGGCTGGCAAGGCGATAGGAGAGGTGGGGTTGTCATTCTGGACTTCAGCCCACCAAAATCTTCTGATAATGGCATTGATTTTACGTACTAAAGTCTTAGAAAAAAGTACAGTAGACATGTAGTACACCAGAATCGAAGCCAGCACAGATTTGATGCAAGTGAGTCTGCCTGCATGGTTAAGCTTGTTAGCTTTAACCGTGGTTAATTTAGCTCTGAATTTGTTAAGAATGAACTCATAAGATTTGTTACTGTCATTGTAATTGAAAATGATTAGGTGGCCAAGGTGCATAGTGCTAGGGAGGAGGTCAGGGACAGGGAAGATGTCCCTGATTTGGGATTTGGTAGAACTAGGCACATTCTTACTGAAGATGATAGAAGATTTCTGGAGGTTGGGGAGCTGACCAGAAAGATTACAGAAATCGTGCAAAATAGTACGAATGTTGGTGGCCTCACGCACTGAGGCAGCCCCACAAAGAATGAGATCATTGGCCAAAAGGAGGGAGTGAATGGGGGGGGCGCAGCCAGGACCAAGGGTGACACCCGAGAGGTTGGAACTGAGTAGTTCATTCTGAAACCAAATAGAGAGTTCATTAATGGCAACAACAAACAGATAGGACGAAAGGGGACAGCCTTAGTGGATACCTCTCTGGGGGAGAAAGAAGCAGAAGGCTCTCCATTCACGAGAATAGAAAAAGTAGGAGTGGAGATGCAAGACCGTATGAAGTTGGAGTGCAACCCCAGCCGACTGAGAGCAGAGGCAATGAAGTCCCAGTCCAAACGATCAAAGGCTTTAGCATGGTCAAGCTTAAGGAGGAAAGCCTGCCGGTTCCAATTCTTGAGGGTAAAGGAGTGGACTGTTTCCTGGGTGATAAAAATATTGGAAGAAATGTGCCTATTATTGATGAAAGCAGCTTGGGATTGATCAATGAAGGTAGGGAGGTGAGGCTTAAGCCTATCAGCCAGGGATTTAGCAATAACTTTAAATAACGTTACAAAGACTAATAGGTCTAAAATCTTGAGGCAAGACATGTTGCATTTTCTTAGGAATTAGAGCAATAAAGGTCTGGTTCAACTCAGGTCAAAGAAAAGCAGAGGTGTAAAAGTCGCATACCAGACTGTGAATGTCCTATGATACCCAAGGCCAGGCGGCTTTGTAGAATGCCGCATTGAGACCGTCCGGGGCCGGGGAGACATTGTTGCGCATATTTTTGATTATGCTGTGAAGTTTGTGTGCATCAGGGAGTGAATTGGTGGAGTTACCATCGCGTGCTCCTGAATCTGTGTGCAGAGGAATGATTAGTAGCCTGAGCAATGGTAGTGGTAGAATCAGAGTTGGGGTGGCAGTGGTAGTCGTTTTGCTAAAGATATGCTGAAAATAAGCGGTTAGAGTATCAGCTAACTGCTCAGGGGTTGTAGAGTGGGTGCCGTCAGGATTCTGCAGGTAAGAAATTCTATTTTTCCTATGCCTTTTGGTGATGGAAAGATAGGAAGCAAGTAGTATTACGGTCTCCTTGAGTAGCCCACTTTTTCTTGGCTCGCTGAAGGTGGAATTCCTCAGCTTTGGCTAAGAGCTGGTGGTGCTGGTGAGTGAGATGAAGACAAAGGAAAAAGAAACTCACAAGTGACAATGTTCCGTACAGTGCACTCTAATTTTCCACCTCCATCCATATGAATTGGAGTGATTGAAGTGCAGCCAAAAAATATCTCAGTTGTCGACTGAGAAAAAAAAATCAAGCATCTGGGAAACATCTCCCATGATACAGAGCACCACTTCCACATCCATCTACGAACTAGAGACCAGAAATATCATGACCACCACCATATCTTAAGTTAGCCAAGACCCACATCAAAATCACACAAAACATTCCAAGGCGGATATGGCTAACCCCGCACACCGTGCGGCACGAACAAAGATACCAGTAATTTCCTCCTTTTCTCATGTTTCAACCACCCTAACCACCATTAGTCGTTGACTCGTTGCTGAACAAAAATTAGCAGTGACCCAAGTCCCAATCAGAGAAGACCGCCTCCCCATTCTGCCGCCACACCCAAAAACATACATTACTTACAATAGGGCAGGCAGACCAAAACGAAATGAACCCAGAGAAAAAAAATTAACCAACGCATTAGATAGAGAGAATGAACAAAATTGAATACAATCATACACCACCCGCTAGCAACTCCACACTGAGACCAAAACAATTCAGGCTTCTTCTATCTTCTTGCTGTCTTCCTTGTATCTACATGATGAAGTATGCTCGAATCACCTCGATTATGGGTGCGCGGCACAGCGGGCATTTCCCTCCACCTCGAACCAATTCGTTCGCACATTTTGAGCATGTGCACATGTGCCCACATCTGATCAGTAATAAACACAAAAAAACAAGTTCACAGCTACTACCAACATATAGACTATGAGTCAACACTCCCATCCAATAAATAATAGAACATTGTTAATGTGAGCCAAACCTGTACAGAAGGGAGTCAATTGGAGTCTCACAGCATATGCAGCAGGTCCCTTTTCTCACATTTATCCATTTCGAACCATCGTCAATTATTTCTTTACTTTCACCACCTGAAATATCAATTACACATATAGGTGGGATGTATGGAAAGTGAAATGCAATACCAGTACCATAAATGCAATACCAACTCAAGTACGACATAGCTACGTACATTATCAACTTAACTAGTATATAATGCTTCCCTGGATGCAAATCAGCATTCCATAATATCATAAACAAGTGCTGTGCAATCCAATGGAACACAGATATAAGTAATGTGTTTGGGGTACCTTATTATCCTAAACTATGTGCCAATTTGAAACCATAGTCCATAGCATAAGATGTCCAACACCCTAGCTATATGTTTCAAATAAGAATAAGCTATAGTTAGCATTTTGCATCTTATGTTACTATGATTGATACACACGGCTATGCCAAGACTCAAGAGGTCAGTCATCAATGTTACATTGCATAAGGAATTAAGAATGCTCAAAATTGCTTCCCTGACTTTTTCTCAGTTCAAACAAGTAACAGCACTGTAGGAAATGTAGCAAACATGACCATGCTGATTTACTAACCTTGCTCCCCAATAAAACGATTCAAGGCTGCTGATACTTCTTGCCTTACAGAACGCTGCAACTCTAGCTGCATATCCATGCAAGCTTCCAACATCCTTTGCATATGGCTCATGCCTTGCTGAAGTCTAGCCATATCAGCTCTTAAATCATTGATGGCCTCCCATTCCTGGACAGAAAAAACAAAACAAATATGAGCCTTTGCCACACATAACATATAAGCTATTCCCCAAAATTAATATAAATAGAAGAGTTGAGTGCATTAGCCTACTATAAACACAGCCTACCAAATATGGTTTACAAATTCACCATAAACAACAAATGTATTGTATTCCAAGCACCAAAAAGATGAATTGAGCAAAGTAAAATATTAATGTACATGTGGTAAGGATATCAATGGCAATAGCTCACAATATCAGAAGATGAACGATGAATGTTTTGTCTGATCCAATTATTACGATGCAACTCTGAATGCCAAAGTGGCTGACGAGGAGGCATAGGTGGAGGTGGTATCACTAAAGGAGGTCTGTTGACAGTGTTCTGCAGTTCCTGGTCCTCGTCATCTCTTTGCTGCTCCTGATTTTGATCTGGTGAGGGAGGGCAGGAGTTGTTCCTTCCAGATCCCAAGGGAGAGGACCACGACCTTGTTGTTCAACATATGACCGGATAAGCCGGTCCAAGTTTTCACTTAAAAGCACTGTGAAGAAGATTAGAAACGCTCCTTCTGCATAATCAAGACAATTTTAGTATTTATACAAACACCAAATAAATTGCTTGTAACAACTTTCTTTAAGCAATAAACAATAACCTGCTTAGAAGTTCCCTCAATTCTGTGCTGTACACATTATCATCATCCCCAGGGATGAATGTATTAGCTCTTCTAATAAGAGCAGCATCGTGGTCAATTGGTTGGTCAGAATTATTATCACGCCAATTGTCTGCAGTATCATTAGACTCGTCATCATTATGCCACTCTTCATTTACTTCAGGGAGATGATCATCACTCTGCCACTCATCATAGACTTCAATAGGACGATCATCTCTGCTCCATTCCCCATGTGATTCCTGAAAATGATTATTGTCATGCAGCTCTTCAAACACTGCAGGAAGATGATCACTGTCATGCTGATCTTCTTGCGCTTCAGGAAGACTACCATCGCTGATGGACTCTTCAAGTCCTTCAGGAAGATGTTCAACACTGGTTGACTCTTCATTTGCCTCTGGAAGATGATCAGTATTATCCTCTTCAACTGCTGTCCCCTCATGAGAAGAGATGTTGTCTGCATTTTCATGCCAACTTCTTTCAGATTCCTCTCCAATCACAGCATGGGAAAATTGTTGCCAGTCTCTTCTCTCATGTTCTAAATCTTCCTGACTTTCTGCTTGACTATGAGATCCACAGAAGACTTCAGCAATGCTAGGGCTGCCACTTTCAAATCCTGATGTTGTTGCTGTACTGTCAATTTGCTGAAGATTGATATTCTCACTTGTCCGCTCATGTCTCTCCTGAGTAGTTTCAGGTGGTCTTAATTCAGAACGATCATTTGTAGATAATTCAACATCGTGAGCTGAAGAAGCATCCACTTGGCTATCTGCTTGACCACGGACAAGATTCTCCAATCTGAAGCGGAACTCTTCTCTAGTTATTAAAATTAATGAGTATTATTATTTTACTTAGCACATGATGAAACTCAGCGGCATTACAAGAGTACATTTTAATAGCACTAACAAGATCTGTCCATATAGTAAGTGAATGCACCAGCTTGCGATTGCTAAATGTGATCAGAAGAGAGAGAGGGTGAATAAGTAGATAACACAAGTAATCAATCGACTAGCTAGCTAACAAGTTGATATAACTAACTGATATGTTAGGTCCAAACCACATATTAAAGAATGTAATCACGTCATCAGACTAGCCGTGGTGTAAACGAGTCACAGGGCCTGTTTGGTACAGCTTATAAGCTGCTTATGGCCAAAATAAGCTGAAATCAACAGCCAAACGCCACGCTTTTCTGCAGCTTATTCTGGCCACGCTTATTTCCACCACTCCCATTTGTACTAAAAAGCAGAAGCTAGATCAAACCAGCTTATTTTGACTTGTGCAGCTTATCTGGGAAGCGCTTCTGAGATAAGCTGTACCAAACAGGCCCACAGAGCTCTTTGTGATGTTGTGATCGTTTCTTTGTGTCCATTAATCAGTGGAAGTGGTAAAGTCTAACAGTGGGATGGATGCAATTTCATTGCAAAAGTAATAAAATTTGGGGTCACCCGCTGTGGAACAAAAATATATCTCCATACTAGCAAAATGAGCTATGCATTTATGTGTCTTACGATAAAATGACACCATGCGTCAAATATGGCAAGGAGGTAATAAGATAGTAAAATGGCTGAATAGCTCTCAAAGTTGCAAACATTTACGAATAGAACTCTGGTGTTCTTTTAAACAAAGATAAAATCAGTCTTTGCCTACATTATATTTTGACATAACAAACAACCAAAATAAGGCTAGAGGAACTGATGCACAAGGATGCTATGATGATTAGCACTTTGGAGTTAGAAATGAATAATATGAGCAACAATAATCTGAAGTTGAGCAGTGACTGCTCGGTGAATTAAAGTTTACGTTACTAACAACACAAGCTTTTTATCCTTTATCAGCATCATATAAAGTACAACACTTATTAAGTTATCATCTTTTTATGTGCTACCAGTATCTTTCTGCTTCTTGAGGCCAAACATTTGCAAACTAACAGAAAAGCCAAGTGCAGCAACAGCTGAGGCAATATTAAGCATCATGAACTCCTTAAAGATGTAACCCTCCAACTACATCAAAATGTAGAACCATTGATCTAGCATACAAATGCATTTATCCCAACAGAAAAGATAAGAAAAGAACCTATATATATCCATTAAGCAGCAGAAACAGCCTCAACATTCTTTTCTCAGCACGCGAGCTGACACATACCTCAAACCAGAGACAGGATGACGTTGTCGCAGCTGACCAAGCTCCCTTGCGGCCACAGATGGGGGTCTCCTCTCCTCCGGCAAACCGCCGTTGCGCAGAAACCGACCCCGGAGCAGCGCCTGCAGTAAAGACGGTAATTCTGATCACGTCAGTCAGATATATCTGACAAATGCGAAGTAGGACACTATATTGTCACAGGTAATGGAACAGTGAGTTGAGAAAAAAAGAAGCACCGACGTGGATTCTGTTGCGGTGCGGGAAGTCGGAGACGGCACGGTGCTGCGAGAGGCGGTGGAGCTCGGCTTGGCGGTCGGCGGCCATGCGCATGACGAGCTCGAGGCGCGCCTGGCGGCCGCGGATCCGGGGAGCGTCCCTGCGCGCGTGTTCAGGGACGGGGGACGGTGGGGGCCCAGCGTCGTCGTCGCGGTCGCGGGCAGCCATGTGGACCCACTCCCTGACGAGGCGCACCCGGTCGCGCTCGATCTCGCGGAGCCAGGAGGAGGACGAGGAAGAGGAGGCGCGCGAGATCTGCACGGCGGGCGCGCGGCGGAGGAGGTCGGGGGAGCCCTCGCGGCTGGATCCAGCGTCCCAGTCGCTGTCGCTGCGGGGCTCCGAGGGCTCACGGCGGCGGCGTGGGGTCATATCGATGTCGGGAACAAGGGGAGCTGGGGCTGGGGCTGGGACGTCGCCCATCGCCACCGTCCGCGATGAGGCATGGGGCGGCGGGAAGCTGCTGCTGATTGGATTGGGTTGGATTGGGCTAGAGCGAAGTCAATCCCCACCCCACCAGAGTCCCAGCATCGGAGGAGACGCCGACGGAGGGGAGAAGGTGGAGTCGAGGCAAGTCCAATTCCCTTCCAACGGCGAGACGACACCACTCGCCGCGGGTAAAGGGTTTTCCATTTTCCATTTATTTTTTCTTTTTTTAAAATATATAGGATAAGCAATTCTGGAGGGAAACTTAAATTCTAAAACTATTATTATGTTTATTATTGTTGTGCCTATTTAGATACTCAATCCAGAACAGGCCAGTCCATGTGTCAAAACAATTATTTAGACCTCCACTCTAGTTCTCTAAATTTTATACCTTATAAAATTGTGATTATAATATGAGAAAAAAAATCTCGAGTTGGCCATCCTTGCTCGATAGCCAAGGAACCAAATACTAAAATGATTAGAATAAACTTCTCTAATATATAGTTTAGCTAGACTTAAACAGTGACTTAGACAAATCACAGTTTGGTGCCATCGGCTAGAGTTCTTTAACATTCCACAAAAAAAAATATCATATTTGCATTCAAAATGAGTTTTTAAGCGTACTTGATACGTTTTTTTTATAATTTATCTGTCTAGAAAGTTCTAACTTCAACATAAAAAGTTCTATTCAGCCTGTTCGCTAGTTGGTTTCTGGGCTGATAAGTCCGGCTGGTGCTGGTTTGTTATGAAAGAAAAACACTGTTAACTAGCTGATAAGCTCTGGCTGAAACCAACAAGCGAACATACTGATTATGTGTGCGTATAGTGGTGGAGCTTAGTGAGGACCATTAGTGAGCCTCCTCCCCTAGAAAAATTCTTAATGTATATCTTAGTTTCATCACTTTAAGTGCTAATGATATATTAATCTGCCCCCTCCTCCTATATTTCATACCTCCCCTTCAATTTTATCGGCCAAGCTCCGTCATTATGCATATTTATACAATTTACTGTATTTGGTGCACCATCCTGCATTCCTACACTATCCTCCCTGCCCACATATAACTGGAACATTAAATATTGTGCTTCCATAATTCTAAAGCAAGAAGTGTAACTGACTAAGTCATTTTCTCTGTTGTTTCCCCACTTGCTCGAGAGAACAACTCCACCGTACACCCATAATGCTAATGTTTTATAATATGAAGTTCAAAAAAGCTGATATTTTTATATGTTATATTGATTCCATTAAATTATCTTAAGAAGACTATCACTTTTGTAATGGAAAAGGGTTGAGGCCTAGTTCGAAAAAATAAAGATAACAAAATCATCCACAAATACTACCTAAAGAAGTCATACAACTTCAATTGAATCCAAAAGTGCATATCCACACACTCAAATTAGGTCAAATCAAATATATTAATTAAGGAAAAATGCTTTCATTCAACAATGATAAGTATTTTCTTGTTACAATGTCTTCCGTCCCTGAAGAAAAGTGATGAGACATCGAGAGCTTGTAGAATATAGTTTCACATAGAGAGCAAGTATAACATACCCAAAGTTATGTGTGGAAACTACATCCACATATTTATTTATTGGTATATCAAATGAATTTGATAGATTATGATATATAAGTTCTAATGAACTTCACATTATGATTTTAGATACAAAATTGTCATATTGTGTAACCAAGTCACACCATAACTCAAAAGTTCAAAACTCAAAACACTCAAATTGATTTGTGATACAATTTGAGTTCCTTCCATTCTATAGCCACTCTGATTATGATTGCCTATTGTGACACCCCAGTGTTACATCCCTGTTTAACAATAGTTTAAGGCTTAATAAAACCTAATAAATAAGTTTTCTATGTTTGGTGATTAATTCTTGCATGAAATGATACGATGCATGTTTGTTTAAATCACCTTTGTGAATATAGTCAACATGTGTGATGTCAACCAAACTTGATTTGTGTGCTTAAACGTCGCTAAATCGACTTGTGAACAAAAGTTATTTAGGGTTTATGCTGGAAAAATGTGAAGGAAATGCTTAAAATGTCAAAAACCTTAATTGGTGTTAATTGCTTGATAGCTTGTTGAAGGCTAAATAAATAAATAATATATTAATAAACTCTGAAATATGTCCGTGTGAAAAACTTAGTACAAGTTATGAACTTTGTGGTAGGGTACTTGTTTGTGCCTAGTTTGATTGATTGATAGATTAATTAGTGCTTCAAAGTTTCAATAAAATGTTGTTTCCTAGGTGACTTAGTTTCTAAGTGCCAAGTGTTTTCGCTGACACTGCTAACTTTGTCCCTAATTACCCGCTAATTCATTGCACTAACGACCTAGGTCCCTTAAGCAAAGTTGGAGTTTGTTTCGAGTTAAAGATATTTTGTATAGGATGTGGGACCCAAACCTTGACCGAATCCTCTGTGCGGTGCGTCAACGTGGGGCACATGGCCACTGTTGTCGCCATGCCTGCGCTCTGTCCTCGCCGCAGACTTAATGCGTGCGCATATAGGCGCCATGGCCGCCCATGCCGCTGCTGCGCTTGCCCACATGCCGCCGCTGCACCCTCGTGCCTTCAAGTGGAGGCCGAGCTCCTCATGCTGCTTCTCTCCCTCCCTGCCGCCCCCATTGCTGTGTTGCGCCCTGCTCGCTCTCGCCGTGCCATGGCCGAGGCAGGCTGAGCTCCCCCTGCCACCGCCGCTTCCACCGCTCTACCCCTCTCCGCACTCGACTGTCGGCACCACCACCTCCTCCACGCCTCCTCTTCGCCTCGCCAAGGCTCTTTGGAGCCCGCGACGTCGGGAGCCATCATGACCCTGCTCGCCGGGCCACTGTAGGCCTGACTTGACGTGGCCATGCTTAATGCGCCCTACCCAGCCAGAGGGTTGTGCCGACCAGTGGGTGTGCTGCTGTACGCCGGTTCCACACAACCCGTCCATGTCGGCCACCGTGCCTCACAGCACCGCCGCCGCCTGTTGCCTAGAGCCGGCGAGGCCACCACCACCACGGCTAGTGGTGTGCATGGCCAGCACGCCCCAACCACCTCTGGCCAGGACTCCGCTACCAACGGATGCGCGAGGGCCCCTTAACTGGGTGCGCAGCCCCGCTATCGTCATTTTCGACCACCTGGCTACCGAAGTTGGTCGAAGCGCGTCCGTCCTCTGCTCCTCTGCTACTTGAAGAAGAAGACAGGGAAGAAAACGAATTAGAAACTCTTTTTTTGGGTCCAGATGCGAAGTACTAGTGTCGGTGTTTTATAAATCGGACTAGTAAACTTATATGATTGTCACGCTGCTCTAGGAAGATGATGGTAGCATCCAAAAGACGTGAGGATTTATACTAGTTTAGACCAGAGCCCTACATCTAGTATCAGAGATGATTGAGTGTATGTTCCTCGTTTGAATGCTCTGAAGTTCTTACAATGGGGGATGCAAGAATGGTGGAAGAGTTAGGAGAGCTAGAGCTAGTAGACGGGCTGCCCGAAGGAAAGCTTTAGGAGCCCTTCTATGGTGTAAAAATGAGTTCGGATCCCCAAGATGGGTGCTCTAGCTGTCCTTATATAGAGTTCAGGGCCAGGGCAAGCATAAAGCAGAAGGTTCTCCCGACCGAAGGGTCATGAGCCTGAGGGAGGACATAGCTAACTTGGCTTGCAAGCTACGCCATCTTGTGGTGCATGTCTGGGCGTGGTTGTCATCATGGTCTTGTCGCTACGTCGCGGCATGGTATGACGTGGTGCTACTATGCCAGCCGTGGTGGCACTGTAGGCACGACAATGGTTGGCCAGCCGTCCTATGCGACGTGGTCTCTGTCGTGGTCTTCCTCATCGCCTCCTGATTTCCTAGGGGGTCATACAAGAGTTGGTAGCCATCCCCATGTCATTGATCACCTGGTTGGCTTGTGGAGCTAATGGCCACAATCCCAAGCATTGGGGTCGTGGCGCCCACCGGTCTGGATGGCCTCTGAGTCAAGGCCTTCGTCGTGGATCCCATCCCATAGTGGGTAGAATCATACATGCGTCTTGTTGGGCCGTATTTGGTCGATGGGCACTGTACCGGCCGTCATCGCGTTGGGCGGTGTTTTCTTGTCTGAGCTGCGTGGTGCAGCGGTGGCGTCTGACTAGACTGAGGTGACTGTTGTCCCCTCGGTCCTTGCGGGGTCAGTGTGGCGTGCCTACTCTTGTCAGAGCAGGAAAGTTAGGCTAGGCTTGACCTCTCCCCATTCATCCCAGGGTCAGGATGGTGGATAGGTCATGCATCTCTTGCATGCCGTGCGGCTAAGGCAGAAGGAGGGATCGTGGCCGACCCTGACCTTGGTGTCAGGCCTATTCCGCTTGGCTTAGCTAGGCCTCAGTCGTTCGGGCCTTCGCTGGCTAATGTGTCGTGGGCCGCTCGGCCTGCTAATTAATCGGTGCCTTGAGACACCCGGGGATTATAACCTCGACAGTAGCCCCCGAGCGTTTTTGCGATCATGAAGTGATTGTGGAAGCATTGTATTACATGCATATCAAATGCAGGTTTGAGGTTCGTGGCTTGTTCAAGCTTCGTCACTCGACCCCTTGCGGGCTAGTGCGTTCAATGTGGTAGGTGGATATTGTGTTCCACCCCGTCAGGATGCTCTGACGATGTGGTATGTGACCACCGAGCTCTGTCATGTTAGTATGCTATGTATCAGGGTTCATGACCCAGGCAGGGCTGAGTGGTCTTGTCGACGCTGTATCGGCCTTGCCTTTGTGAGAGTCTTAATTTTCCTGACCTCACGCGGGCATCTGACATGGGCTATGACCTTCCGTGGTTCGCCATGCGATGCGGGGTTCTCAGGCTATTCATTATGTTCTTGGCCTATAAATAGGGGCCTTTTCTACCGTTGGAGGCACCCATGGCCGTAACCATGAGTTGTTGTTTCGCCTCACTGAGCGGTTGAACATTGAGAGAGTGAGGAAAGGAGAGAATTTTGGGAGAGAAGTGTGAGGAGGATTGTGCCATTCCCGTGATG